ACCAGATCCGCCATGCGATTACCGATAAGGCTCCATTCCGTTGCCGTGAAAAAGGAACCATCGCCATTCCCTTATATGAGCTTGCAGGAATCAGGTTTGGCTGTAAAAACAAAATGAAAATAAAACAACTAAATTCGTCTAGACGCCATTGGTTCCCTGGTTCCTAGAATCGCGGTCAACCAAAGAATAATAAAGTAAGAAAAAAGGGTTCATGGTGAGTTCGCTTCATCAGGGTATATATGTTAAATTAGCCCGCTTGCCGCTTAAAAATTCTCTTCACAAGCTCGTAAAAAATAAAATAGCAATAATAACAAAAGAATAAAATAATTTTTGAAAAAGTAAGGACCCACCCGGGTTTGAACCGGGGACCATTCGGACTGCAGCCGAATGCTCTACCACTGAGCTATGAATCCTCCGCGGAAAGGTTCCATGTATAAATGAAATCTGTTTCTCTCGACATCCAAAGCGCATTTTGAGCCAAGATCCGCCGCGAATGCCACGAAGGGGGCGCGATAGTTCTTTGGCTGCCGAAGACTGATTCTTTGGGGTTTTATTGGCGAAGGGGACTTATTGCACTTGTCTTTGGGACGGCTCTCGTTGAAATCGTTTATTTGGGGCGCCGGCTTTGTTTTCCATGTGCGTGTCTTAATCCTTCTTCTTTTTTGTTTTGAGCTTGGGAACGAACAGGTTTTAGTATCGATGACGGTCCAAAGGTACTATTTGTTAGGGGGTGCTTTGTTCTTTTTTTTTGTTTACTGTTTGGTTCGCCCTGGGTCTTTGCGTCGTCTTGCTTTTGCTTCTGGTATCGGTTTTGCTTTGGGATACGGTTTGCCAGCTCTAAACAACGTGCGAAAGCATTCATTTAAGGCCATAAATGAACCAATCCATTTGCTCACACCACCGGCAGACTTCCGTAGCATGTATCATCGAATTTTTGAGCATATTTCAGAGCGTTATGACGAACTTGGCCAAATGGAAATTGGGGAGGAACATATTACAGTCATGCAGAATGTTTTTGCTCAGATAGGGACTCTCGATTTTGATGGTATTAGAAAAATGTGGACTTCAGTGATTATACCTCAACTGCGCAGCTCCATAAGTGGTGGCGCTCTTGTTAATGATAGTCAGAATCTGCCTACAAAAATTGAGGAAAGCGTCGTTTTTTGCGATATTGGAAGTGGCGTAGGAAACGTTTGTCTTCAAATTTTGGCCGAGACCCATTGCAAAAAAGTGGTGGGAGTCGAGGTGATTCCTTCCAGGTTCCGCAATGCAAAAACTGCACTGGCAAATGCCAAGCTTTATTATCCAGAATATTTTGATGGTAAAGAAGAAATTTTTTTCAATGATGATTTTG